TAGTAATGAACATAAAAAAATTTTTTTAAATTTTAATAATTATTAAAAGGAATTTAATTCATTCATTGTTTTATCATTTCGGCTGATAATTGGATCCATTATCATTTATCAATCGTTTTTTTTTTTTTTTTTTTTTTTTGCTGATAATAAAAAATATTAAAAAGGAAAAAAATCACAATGAAATAATTTTTCAAATTTATTTTTTTTTTTATTTTAATCTTTTTTTTTGCTATTTTAGCTACTAATTTTTAATTTTTTAATTTTTTTTTAGTAATTTTTTCATTTCATAGTTAAAATGGAAAAAGCAATGAGAAAAATAAAAGAACAAACAAATTTTTAAATATTTCATTGATAAATTTAATCTTTTAATCAATTTTTTTACCCTTTTTTGTTTAAAAAATTAAATGTTAAACGGTTTTATAAATTTAAATCAATTAAAATAATTTAAAGTATTTTTCTAACAAAAAAAAAAGAACAAAAAAACAAGAAATTTCAAATTGTTTATCAATTGGATTTACTAAATGATTACTAAACAATAAATTAAAAAAAAAAAAAAAAAGGGTAAGAACAAGTTTAAAAAGATTTTTAATTTATTGAAAGCTAAATTTCTAAATGCTTTGTTTGATTTGAAATTTTTGAAAATATCATTTTAATAGTAATTTAAACTGTAAATAAAATTTTCACAAACATATTAATATCTATTAAATATTAGAATTGAGAAAATAAATTTGAATGAATTGAAGAAAATACAATAAAATTTTATTTGCAATATAAAATTTTACAATATAAATAAAATTTTAAGCTAAATCGAAGTAATTAAATTTAAAAATTAAAATACGAGATGAAATTAAATAAATTTATAAATTATATCGATGAAACCAAAATTTAACAAATATAGAATAAAGTTATTTTAAAATTATTTATTTATGCTTACTACTTCGGTTATCATTTCAAAATATTCAATTAATAAATTAAATGAAATTTCGTTGTTAATAAAGTGATAAATAAATTATTATAATTATTAATAAACTAATAAATGCATAAAATTTTGTTATTAATAAACTGATAAACAAATAATTATCAATAAATTGATAAATAATTACAATCATTAATAAACCGATAAATATTTATGATAAACTGATAAATAAATAATTATTAATAAACTGAGAAATAATTATAATCATTAATATACTGATAATTAATTATAATCATTAATAAACTGATAAAAAATAATCATTAATAAACTAATAAATAAATAAAATTTTGTTGGTATTAATTATTAATAAACTGATTAATAATTATAATTATTAATAAACTGATAAATAAAAAATCATTAATAAACTGATAAATAAATATAATCATTAATAGACTGATAAGTAATTATAATCATTAATAAACTGATAAAAAATAATCATTAATAAACTAATAAATAAATAAAATTTTGTTGGTATTAATTATTAATAAACTGATTAATAATTATAATTATTAATAAACTGATAAATAAAAATCATTAATAAACTGATAAATAAATATAATCATTAATAGACTGATAAGTAATTATAATCATTAATAAACTGATAAAAAATAATCATTAATAAACTGATAAATAAATAAAATTTTGTCATTAATAAATCGATGTAAAATAATTATTAATAAACTGATAAATAATTATAATTATTGATAAACTGATAAACAATTAATTATTAGTGAACTGATAACTAATTATAATTATTACTGAACTGATAAATAAATAAAATTTCGTTATCAATAAACTGATAAATAAATAATTTTAAAAAAAAATAAAATTGTGAATATAAACATTATAAAATAAAATAAACAAAAGTTCTTCCTGAACCAATCATCTTTTTTTTTTTTTTTTTTTTAATGAAAATTAGAATGAAAATAATTATTAATTAAATTAATTTGAAATTAATAAACAAACATTTTAAATTAATAATTTAACTTACTTATTTATACTTTATGGATAAAAATTTCACCCTAAAATTGAATAATTTATAAAGTAAAAGTTTATTTTCTCTTTTCTTTTCTGTTTTAAAAAACTTTTTTGTGCTACGAGAAAGTTTGTTTAAATGTAAAGTGCTAATTTGCAAAAGTATTTAAATTATTTTAAATCATCAAAAGATAATGAAAGCATTTTTTGATATATTAATGGTTGTTAAATTAAAACAAAAAATTAAAAATTAAAAAATTAAAATTAAAACGAAAAAAAAATAATCATTTCTAAATCAGGTTTTTCATGTTTTTCTTTTTTGTTTTTATTTTTTTATTTTGGATAAAACAATTAATTAAAATACAAATATTTTTTGTATTAGATTTTTAATTCAAAAACAGCTAAAACATAAAACAAAAATTAATTTTTTCTCAGATTTTAAAAAAAAAAAAAGTTTTTAAAATTTCTTTTAATAAATCAAAAAAATATGTTAAAATTGATTATTCCAGAAAATAATCTTGTTTTCTAATTTCTGAAAGTTTTAAAAAGAAAGGAAGAAAAAAAAAAGAGTAGCAGAAAATTAATTAATTAATTGTTGAAATATAATTTAAAAAAATTTAGCGATTTAAAAAAAAAAAAAAGAAATTTTTTTTTTTTTTCATTAATTCCAAAAATAAATTTTTCCTTAAAATATTTTCGCTTTTTAAACTAAAACAATTCTTTTCTGTTTTATTTTTTTTAAAAAAAAAAAAAATGACACATTTCATTTTTATCAAAAAGATAATTTCAATTAGTTTTAAATTTTTAATTGTAAAAATAAATTTTGAGTAAATTTTTAATTTTTATATTTTATTATTTAAAAAAAAAATTATATTTTAATTTTTATTTTATTATTTTACTATTATGCAATTATTTTCGAAAATGTTAGGAAAAAAGGCTAATAATTAATTGCAATTATTGTTTAAAATTCTAAAATTGTTCAAATTGGATGATTAATAATTTTAGGTAATAAAATTTTTCAAATTTTTAAATCTTATTTTTTAGCTTTTTTTTTTTTTGATAAAATTTAATAATTGAAAACATATTTGAAAAGCAAAAAAAAAAAATAATAATTAATAATTAACTTTTCAATTATTTCATTTTGCTAATTTACATTTTCATTTAAAATGAAGCATTTAATTAAATATGAAATTTTTTTTTTAATTTTATTAAATTTAGTAATTCAGTAATTCAGTTAAATATAGTAATTAATTTCATTAAATGTAGTAATTCAGTTCAATTAGTGCATTTTATTTTATTTCATACAATTGGAAATAAAAATTTAAAAAAAAATTAAAGGAGCAAAAAGAAGAAAAAAAAAAGGTAAAAATTGAAATTAGATAGTTGCTAAATGCCCTTTGGGGAATTATTTTTATTTCATTTCTTAAAACATTTTTAAAAAAAAAAAAAAAATTTAGAAAAATTTTTTTGTAGCTTTTCATTTTTATTTTTTTTTATTTTTGATTTGAAATTAAATATATTCAAATATAAATGGAAAATTTATCATTTTCTAATCATTCATTATACGATTATCATTTCCTATATAATAATTCAGCTTAATTAGAAGAGATTATTTTTAATTATTTTAATTAAAATTAAAATAAATTCAAATTTGAAATGAATTTATATCTTTTTTTTCATCTTGAAACAAAGAGAGAGAGAGAGAGAGAGAGGGAAAAAACAGGTTTGATAAGAGCAATAAATGTGATAATGATTAGTAATTCGATCACTCTGAAAATTTAATTGCTTTTTATTTAATTAAGAAATTATTAATTACTTATTTTGAATTTAGATTTCTTAAAATTAGATTTTATAATATTTTAAAATGATTTTATTCAATATGAAAATGATTATTAAACATATTATTGCTAAATTTTCTGCAATAAATTGGAAAATATTTGCATAAATGAAAGATAATTTGCAAAATAATAATCCATTAAAAATTATCTATAATTAAAACATTGCTTATCAAATTAATTATCAAATTTTATCACTATTCTTATCATTATTTTCAACTGTTGATATTAATTTTTATCATTATTTTGAATATTTATTATAATAATTATTGAAATAAATATTAATTGGAATTAGAATATCAAATTGTCATAAGTTTAGATAAATTATTATCAATTTTTTTTTAAAATTTAGTTAGTAGAATTTAGATAAATGATTATATCAATTCAAATTTGCATAAATGAATAATATATTATTGATGAATGTTAAAATTAAATTTAAAATATTTATTTGTAGCAAAAATAACAAAATTATTTAATATGAAATTAGTGAAATTAAAAATTTTCATCTCAATTTATTACATTAAAAATTGTTAAATATTTTTATATTAATCAAAAAAAGAAACAAATTATTATTTTTTTCAAAAAAATTTTATTACTTTAAAATTATCAATGATTGAAATAATGAAAAAATTTTTCTGAAATTTTTAAAACCAAATGACAGCACTGATCACTATTGATCGCTTTTAATCAATATCTATCAAACAACAGCACTGATCACTATTGATCGCTTTTAATCAATATCTATCAAACAACAGCACTGATCACTATTGATCGCTTTTAATCAATATCTATCAAACAACAGCACTGATCACTGTTGATCGCTTTTAATCACTTTTTGATCAAACTTTTTGACCAAACTTTTGATCATTTAATCGAACTTTTTGAATATGATGAATATGAACATGAATGCAAATTTATCATCAATAATTTCAACCGGAATATGAGTGCAAATTAATCATCAATAATTTCAAGCGGTATATGATGCTAATTAGTCATCAATAATTTCAACCGGAATATGAGTGCAAATTAATCATCAATAATTTCAAGCGGTATATGATGCTAATTAGTCATCAATAATTTCAACCGGAATATGAGTGCAAATTAATCATCAATAATTTCAACCGGAATATGAGTGCAAATTAATCATCAATAATTTCAACCGGTATATGATGCTAATTAATCATCAGTAATTTCAACCGGAATATGAGTGCAAATTAATCATCAGTAATTTCAACCGGAACATGATGCCATGCATTATTAAGTAAACCACGAATATTCCAAATTCCACGTGCTGTATCCGGTTGCGTATTATAGGAACGATCGGTTGCTTTACATACTAAATCTAATTGTTTCACGTCATCCGGAATTTTTATTGTTGATTTAAAAAATGTCCACGACCACATATGATCCTTTAAAAAAAAAAAGAAGATAAAAATAATAAAATTTTTTTGTGTGTGTGCAGTTTTGTTTACATTTTTATTTGTTAATTAATTAAAATTTAAAATTATAAAATTTAAATTTAATTATTATTTATAAAAACATACGATATCTTGATCAGGATCTTGCACTAATTGAGCAGCTTGCCACGTTTCACCACCGTCTATTGACACTTCCACACGTATAATACCACGTCCGCCACCACTCCAAGCGTAACCCATCACATCAAACTGACCATTGGCTACAATAATTATTTTGAATAAATTAATTACCTGTTTTAGCAAAGAATTTATGATATTTTGAAGTGAACAGCTTTATAACAAAGAATGCTAATTAACTCTAATTAATTAATTAGATATCAATTACTCTACTCATTAAATTAATTATAATTAGTTGTAATTATATTTTTTTTTTTTTGATAGAATTACTTTAATCTTTTATAAAATTATTTTTGTTGTTAATGCAATATTTTAATTTCAATTTAATCTTATAATGTTTTAAAATATTTCAAGACAAAAGCTATTCATTTAATTAGATGCGAAAATTAGGTATTATAAAAAGTGTAGTTTTTTTTTTGTTAATAATGATAAATAAATTAATGAAATGATAAGTGAATTAAAAAATGATAAATAAATTAAATGTAAGTAAATCACTAAAATTATAAGTAAATTAATCGTGATAAATAATTTAAATGATAAGTAAATTACTAGAATGATAAGTAAATCAATAGTGATAAATAAATTAATTGATAAATAATTTAAATCATAAGTAAATCAATGGTGATAAATAAATTGAATGATAAGTAAATTAATAGTGATAAATAAATTAAATGATAAGTGAATTAATAGTAATAAATAAATTAAATGATAAGTAAATTACTAGAATGATAAGTAAATTAGTAGTGATAAATAAATTAAATGATAAGTAAATTAATAGTAATAAATAAATTAAATGATAAGTAAATTACTAGAATGATAAGTAAATTAATAGTGATAAATAAATTAAATGATAAGTAAATTAATAGTAATAAATAAATTAAATGATAAGTAAATTAATAGTAATAAATAAATTAAATGATAAGTAAATTACTAGAATGATAAGTAAATTAATAGTGATAAATAAATTAAATGATAAGTAAATTAATAGTAATAAATAAATTAAATGATAAGTAAATTACTAGAATGATAAGTAAATTGATAGTGATAAATAAATTAAATGATAAGTAAATTAATAGTAATAAATAAATTAAATGATAAGTAAATTACTAGAATGACAAGTAAATTAGTAGTGATAAATAAATTAAATGATAAGCGAATTAATATTTGTTGAAAAAAACAAAAAATTACAGCGTGGTATTTTTATTGGCGCAGATGGAAAACAAAAAGCGCTTTGTACCGGATAATCCTGTATTGATGGTACCAATTCGAAATTTTGTTTATCATTTGGACCAATAAATGGTGGAAGACCTCTAAAATATCAATTCTAATCATAACAAATTATCATTAATTTATCTTTAGAATTTATAAATTCATCAATCTTTGGTTTAATTTTTTTTTATGAAATAATTTCATTTAAAAATTATCATAAAAGAATGATAAATTGATAATTTAATAGATATTTTTTTAAGTATTAATTAAAATTATCAATGCCGTAAAGTCTATTTATCATCAAATGACTAAAAAAACTTTTTTCATCAATTTAAAAGATTTAATATTCAAAATTAATTCTGTAAAATTTAAAAAATTTATTGCAAAATTTTTTTTTTTTCTTCAAATAAATAAAACTATTATAATAATTAATGAATGTGAATAATCTTTGCAACAAATTTTGTTTATTAGCCAAAAATAATTGAACTAATATTGAAAATTAAATGAAAAAAAGATGGAAAATTTTAATTAAATTAAATTTTATTTTTAAATATATTTTATATTAAACTAAATTTAATATAAAATACAATAATTATAAATAATAAATTTAATTAATTTTACAACTTACCGATAATCTCGCCTTTGCCAATGTGACTTACTTTCTTCCTCACTGAGAATTATAGTGGAAAGGAATTTCACTTGACGAGCACCCACAATTCCTAAAAAAAAAATTTCTCTAATTTAAATTTAATTTAATTCATTCGTTTTTTTTTTAATTATCTAATTTCAATTTATTGAATATAAAAGTAAGTTAATTACCCATAAGTTACTTATTATAGAGGTTACTTACCTATAAGTTACTCATCATAAACAATCTAATTTCAATTTATTAAAGATACAAGTAGATTATTTACCTATAAGTTACTCGTTATAAACAATACAATTTCAGTTTATTGAGTATACAAGTAAGTTACTTAGCTATAAGTTACTCATCATAAGCAGTATAATTTCGTATACAAGTAGGTCACTTAACCTATAAGTTACTCATCGCAAAGTATCTAATTTCAATTTGCTAAATGTAGAAGTAAATTATTAACTATAAGTTACTCTTCATGCACAATCTAATTTCAGTTTATTAAGTATACAAGTAATATATAACTTACTTATATATTACCTATAAATTGCTTATCATAAAGTATCTAATTACAATTTATTGAGTATACAAGTAACTTATAGATTACTTACCTATAAATTACTCATCACAAACATTCTAATTTCAATTTATTGAAACTATAAATTATTTAGTTACAAATTACTTATCTATAACTTTTTATATGATAAGCACAGGTGTTATATAGTGTAAAATAATTTACAAATCTTTTTAAAAAAGCTACAGTATAATTAATTTAAGAAAACATTTCTTAATTAGTGATAAAATTAAGTGATAATAAAAAGTGGTTGAAATATAAATGATAAATTTATTAAACAATTATATCAGAGGGATTTTCTTTTTATCAATATTAAATCAAAATGAAAGCAAAATATTATTTACAGAAATAATTAAATGAAATGATTTATCTATTTGATATAAATTATTTACATATACCAATTCAATCTGAATGATAAATGATTCAATGATTTGCGCTATGAAATTTTTAAATTTAGTAAACAAAAATTAGACTAAAAATAAAAAATTGAAAAAAAAATAAAATATTAAAATAAAATACAAATGTAAGTAATTAATTAATTTTTTTAATTGATTAAATTTTATTGCATTTAAAATTTAAATTTTAAATTTCTATTTTTTTAAGAAATTTCAAAAAAATGTTTTTTTTTTTTTTTTTTTTGGTTTTGTTTATTACCAGGTGCAATTAAACGTATTGGATAACCATGATCACGTGGAATATCCTTATCATTCATCTGATAAGCAATGATAACTTCATCTTTCATAGCTTTCTCAAATGTTATTGATGTCTCATAATTATTACCTGTAATTAAAATTTTTGATAGATTAGTATAATTTAATTATAATTTATCACTAATTAGCAGAATTAGAACAATTTGAAAAAGAAAAAAATTGTGATAAATTAAATTTCAAAATTAAAAAAAAGAAAAATAAGAAAGAAATTTTGATCGATTGATTGAGAATCGATGATCTGAAATGTTAGATCAATAGATAGATCAAATAGATGAGCAAATAAATTTTAAAATTTTTTGTAAATTCCCTCTCTCTCTCTCTCTCTCTTTTTCCACTTCAAAAAAAAGGCAAATAACATATTAACTTGTTAAAATTTAAATTTTTTTAATTTTTTTAAATTTAAGTTTTGAAGTCGTAGAAAAATTACAAAATGTAATGTAAAAATAAATTAATAATTTTGCAAATAAATGAAAAAAATTAGAAATAACATATTAACTTGTTGAAATTTAAATTTTTTTAATTTTTTTAAATTTAAATTTTGAAGTCGTAGAAAAATAAAAAAATTGAAATGTAAAATTACATTAATAATTTTATAAATAAATGAAAAAAATTAAGAATAACATATTGACTTGTTGAAATTTAAATTTAAAATTTTCTGATTTTTTTAAATTTAAATTTTGAAGTCGTAGAAAAATTTAAAAAATTGAAATTTAATATTACATTAATAATTTTGTAAATAAATGAAAAAAAATGAACATATTTTTTAGATTTGAAATGTAAAAAAAGAAAATTTTTTTTTTTTTTTGAAAAATACATTTAAATAAATATAATTTTTTAAATTTGAAATATAATTTAATTACTGATTACCTTCATTATCCTTATCAGCACCACGAAATATCACATGTTTGATACGTTTATCATTTGGATTTATACCTGCTTTTATCAGCACATCCTACATTTAATGTTTCAAATTTAAATTTTTTTTAAAAAAAAAAAGTAAAATTAAAATTAATTTCTTCAAAAATTTTAAAATAAAATTATTTGAAATGTTTTTTTTTTCTTTTTTTTTTGGTTCAAATTTTTTCAAATTAAAAATTTAAAAAAAATTATTCATTCGTTAAATTAATTTTTCAAATTTATTATAACCTTTAATCGTACACCAGTCCATTTTGCATTACCTATTGCAGTACTCTTCCAATTTAATCCTTGAACCTAAATTTTAATCAATTTTTTTTTTCTCACTTATTTTATGCATTTTATTTAGTATTTATTATTTATTTATATTTAATATATATTTATTTATAATATATATTTAAATATTTAATTTATTTATGTATTTATACGTTGTAATTTATTTACGTATTTATACGTATTTATATGTTGTAATTTATTTACACTTAATATATAATTTATTTATAATATATATTTAAATATTTATTTATTTATATATTTATTTTATTTATTTATATTTGTTTATATTTATTTATTGATGTATTTAGTATTTATTATTTATTTATATTTATTATATAATATAATTATATATACTATTTATTTATATACTTACATTTATTTATAATATTTATTTATTTATGTTTGCTTATATATTTATTTATTTATAAATAATTTTATTTTAATTATTTATGTTTACTTATATATTTATTTATTTATTTATAATATTCAATTGTATATTTAGCATTTATTATTTATTTATGTCTATCATATATATTATTTATTATATTTATTTAATAATATATATTTATTTATGTATATTTTATTTATTTACATTTTTTAGATACTTATTTATTTATATGTTCAGTATTTATTATTTATTTTTTAGTATTTATATTTATTTATAAAAGAAAAATTTTTTTTCTCATTATTACTTTACAATTATTAATCGAATTTTATTATTTGTGCTAAAATCACACTAAAAAAAGAATAAACAAATAGTATCAAAACTGGATTAAAAAATTTGCATAAATTTTTTGAAGTAATTATAATTTTATTATAATTAATTACTACCATTTTAATTATTTTATGCTAAATTTTTGCTAACAGCTAATTCTAGCATTTAAATAATTATACTATATATAATTTCAATCATTTTATACTAAATTTTAATATTATCAATGAATGAAACAAATATTTGTAAAAATTTGAAAAAATAAAAAAAACAAAACAAAACAAATTTAAAAATTTAAAAAAAAATTCTTTTAAAAATGACAATTAAATTTAAAAAAAAAAAAAAATTACAATCTTAAAATTGATAAACTAAAATTAATATTTATAATAAAGTTGTAAAATTTTAAACTTTTTTAATTGCGTCCATTTCACTACGACGATTACCGGCGCATTGCAACGTGGCATTGACGGATACACACGTGAAATCACGTTTTAAGTCATCTAATGAAAGTACGAACGGTTGTTGAATTGAAATACCATCGATTGTTAATTTATGCTTTGTTGCGTCAATCTACCTATGAAAATTATAAAATTTACATTTATTCATAATTGATTACACTTTTTTTTTTTTTTTCTTCTAATAATTGATTTTAAAAAATTTATAAAAATTTCAAAAAATTTTTTTTATTATTAAATAATGAATGAAATAAGCAAAAATGTTAAATTTTATGAATTTAATCATTTTTATATATTATCATTTGTAGATTTTTCGAAAAAAAAAAAATAATAATAATATAAATAACTAACAAAAAAATTATTTATTCCATTTAGTTTCATTTGTTAAATTTTTGTTAATTTTAATCTTAAAAGTAGACAATAAGTGAAAAAAATTTTTTTTTCTTTTGATTTAAAACATTTTTTTTTTTTAATAAAAAAAAACTTAGTTAAAAAAAAAAATTTCTATTTGATAATTTCAGAATACACAATAATTGATATTATTAATTAATTAATTAATGGAACAAATAAAAACATTAAATTTTTAGAAATTAAAAAAAATTTTTAAAAAAAATGATAATTAAATTTTTAAAAAAAATCAAATTATTTTATGCAAAATTTAAAAAATATATTTATAATATAATAACTAGTAATAAATTACTTATTTCATTTAGTTTCATTTGTTAAATTTTGCAAATTTAATTTTAAAATTAGATTATTTTTTTTTCTTTCTTTTAAATCATTTCTTTTTTTTAATGGAAATATTTAAATGAATTAAATCTAAAATAATTTTTAAAACAAAAAAAAAAAAAAGATCATACAAGTGGTACTGGCATATGATTTCGAACATAAAATAAATCATTGGGTGTATAAAAATTATCCATGATTAATTCGACCGGTGTTTCAGCATTGAACGGTTTTTCCGATTTGATAATTAATGCCGGATGTCGAATTGGATCATTTTCATATGAATCATTTTCATTCTGAAAAGAAAAAAAAAAAGAGAGAAGAAATTAAATATTTAAAAAAGAATGGAAAAAAACAAACAAACAAACTTTGATAATGTGATATTAGTCGGATCATTTGATAATTAAGTTTGTAAAAGTCAAAGATAAGTAGTACATACTTTACTTTGATAAGTTAATTTGATATGTGATAATGATAGCTTGATAATTATGATCATTTCATGTTTAAACTTATAAAAGTTAAGAATAAGTAGTGCAAATTTTTTGATATATGATAAGTTTGATAATTAAGATTGTAAAAGTTACAAATAAGTAGTACGTAATTTAATTTAATAATTAATTCGATATGTGATAAGTTTGATAATTAAGAATGTAAAAGTTAAGTAGTATGTAATTTAATTTGATATGTGATAATGATAATTTGATAATTAAGATCATTTAATAATTAAACTTGCAAAGGTTAAAAATAGGTAGTACACAATTCAATTTGATAATTAAATTGATGTGTGATAAGTTTGATAATTAAGATTGTAAAAGTTAAAAATAAGTAATACATACTTTAATGTGATAATTAAATTGATATGTGATAATGATAGCTTGATAATTAAGATCATTTGATAATTAAACTTATAAAAGTTAAAAATAAGTAATACTAATATTACGGATTAGTTTAATTATAAAATGTATTTAATTTTTTTCAAATGAAAAGTTTATATATACTTTATTTTTCTCTTCTAATTTTCCTAATAAATGTAATAATGATAATGATAAGTTGCATTAGTGATAAGCTTTTGAACCCTTTTATCAATGATAACAATATCATTATCATCTAAATTGCCAATCCTTAATTCTTCCAATATTTCCAATGTTTCCTGAGTTAAATGTTGCTGATAAATATTCCAGTATGGATCAATACGACCACCTGCAGCTAATAATATCTTATCACCACCTGGATGACTTTGAATAAAATTTGTTATATCATATACACCCTGAAAAAATCACTAAAATTACCTTTTTTTAAAAAAAAAAAATTGATAATTTAGTGATAAGTGAAAGGTGGAAATTATCATTTTTGATAATATTGAATTGTTTAAAATTTTTTTAAATTTATTAATTAAATTATCTAAACAAAAAATATATAAACAATAAAAAATTAATAAAAAATAAATTAACTAAGCAATATTAATAAAAACTAATAAAAAAAAAATTAACTAAACATATAAATTTATCAAAAAAAAAAGTAATTGTTCTGTTGTGTTATACTGTTCTTTTAAATTATATTTTAATTAATAATTAATTAATCAATTAGTAAATCTTTTGTTTTGAATTTTCTTAAAATAATTTCCAAAAAAAAGTAAAAAAAAATAGACATTATTGCAATTTCATTCAGAGTAATTCTTGAAAATACCTAATTTTAATAATTTTTAAATTTTTTTCTATTTCAAATTATTACATAAAAGATAGATTAAACAATTTTTTTTTTTTATCAAAAATTTTTCGCATAATTTAATTTAAATAAATAATTGAATAAACAATAAATTAAATACCATATTGAATAATATATAAAAATTTATCATTTTTAACATCATAACATTTTAATAAAAATTTGATAAATTAAATTCAATTAAAAATTAGCAATTATTGATTGATATGATAATTTGTAATTAAATAATAATATTTATTGATTGATACGATAATTTGTAATTAAATAATAATATTTATTGATTGATACGATAATTTGTAATTAAATAATAATATTTATTGATTGATACGATAATTTGTAATTAAATAATAATATTTATTGATTGATACGATAATTTGTAATTAAATAATAATATTTATTGATTGATACGATAATTTGTAATTAAATAATAATAATTATTGATTGATGCGATAATTTGAAATTAAATAATAATAATAATTACTGATTAATACGATAAACAATAATTGAATAATATTTATTGATTGATACGATAATTTGTAATTAAATAATAATATTTATTGATTGATACGATAATTTGTAATTAAATAATAATATTTATTGATTGATACGATAATTTGTAATTAAATAATAATAATAGTTACTGATTAATACGATAAACAGTAATTGAATAATATTTGTTGATTGATGCGATAATTTGAAATTAAATAATAATAATAATTACTGATTAATACGATAAACAGTAGTTGAATAATATTTATTGATTGATAAGATAATTTGAAATTAAATAATAATAATTAATGATTGATATCATAATTTATAATCATTACCAATTACTGAACAAAAAAAAAAAAAAAAAAAAGAAAGTAAGCTAAAGTAACCCCTTGAAAAGTAACCCAAATACTTTGGGCATCTTTCCCATGTTTCTTTACTTCATCCATTCGATATGTTGGCAAATCATTTCTCTTTTCAATTTTCATTTCCATACTTTGCCCATCTGTGTAACCAATTTCAACTGTATTCTTGAGCACTGATAAACCACCTGCTAGGGTAAATACACCAAAACAACCCAGGAAAATCCATCTTTTTGTATTATTTCCACGATTTTCTGCAATTTACCCATACATTTGTTTATGTCCTACTTTTTAATTGTTGTTATCAGTTATCAGTTATCAGTTAATCTTTATATATTTATCATCATAAGTTATAGTAAGAAATAATTGAATAGATAATATTCAATGTGACTGATAATGGATAATGAAAATGATAACGATGAATTAATTAATTAATGATTAATAATTTTAAGTATTTTCTGTTTTTAAAATATTCCTGAATAATTCATGATTATAATCTATGATAATGATTAGCTCGACAATCAAGATAACATTCAGATTGACTAATAGTGATAATTAAATTGAATATTATTCAATGTGACTGATAGTGATAATCAAAATGATAACAATGAATTAATTAATAATTGATTGATAATTTTAATTTTTATCACTTCTGAAATATTCCTAGACAATTCATTATCATGATCTATAATAATGAATAGCTTAATAATCAAGATAACATTCAATGTGACTGATAGTGATAATCAAAATGATAACAATGAATTAATTGTTATCACTTTATGAAATATTCTTGGATTATCATGATCTGTAATAATGATTAGCTCAATAATCAAGATTTTATCATTATAATTTATAAAAATGATAGCGGTGAATTAATTAATAACTAATCAATTTGATAATTAAATGACTAATCACAGCAATAAATGTGACTAATTAGAGAATAATTAGATTTGAAGAAAATTTAAATCAAAAAATAAAAAAAAAAAAAAAACATTGAGAAACTAAATTTTGGCTATAGCAAATGTTTAATTTATATATTTATTATTTGTAACTTTCTTGTTTATATTGTTAAATTCTTATTATAATATTAAACTAAAATCGAATTTTTGATTAAATCTTTTTTTTTTCGAAATATCACAAAAAAATTATATAAAATATATTTTGCAAAGAAAAAAAAAAACAATAATAATAATTTTTTAAATTTTTATTGTTAATAAATATTCTATTAATTGAATTTTAATGGAACATTTGCATTTGAAATTTGAAATGTTTGAGTTATTTAAAGTGAATTTATATTAGAAAGGTCAAGAGGTTAACAATAATTAAAAAAATTTAATTGATTAATTAATTAATTATCAGACCTGATGATATCAGTGATAACTTTGAATGATTATTTAATGAATGATACTGTGTGGTAGCAATTTTAGTTTGACAAACAGTGGTGACAATACATTGACGTGTCAATCGTCCATATTTTATCATATGATAAAGCCACCACATTATCACTAAATTGATATGATATAATTTTTTTCAATTAAAAATTAAAATGAAAAATTATAAACAATAAAAATTGAAAAGTGTTCTAACAATTATTATTGATCATTAAAATGTATAAAAATATTTCGCATTAAACTGTTTTCAAAAACATAAACAAATAAATAAACAAACAAAAAGAAAAAATGGTAGGATCATAAGTTTGATAATAAAAAAAAATAGTGGGTAAATAATTTGGGTAACTTTTTACCTTTTACCTAATTATCTGCTTTTCAGGGCAAAAAAAAATTAAAAACATAAACAAATAAATAAACAAACAAAAAAGAAAAAATGGTAGGATCAAAAGTTTGCTAATTAAAAAAAGCGAGGTAAATAATTTGGGTAACCTTTTATTTTTTACCTAACTACTTGCTTTTCAGGGAAAAAAAAAAAGAAAATTTTGTTTACCATTAATTATTACCGCCCTATGACTCCTATTATTGTTAATATAAACATCAGAAATTAGAAGAATGAAAAATATTTTGAAAAAAGAAGAAAAAACTTTTTTCCTTCTCTCAAAAAAAAAAAAAGTTGAACAAATAATTTTGTTATTGATTTTTTCCATTTGTTTTGTTTATTAATTTGATCGTTTTATAGAAATGTCAAATTTAGTGTGACAATAAAAAATTTTTTTGAAAAGTAAACATAAGAAGAAAGTATGAATGAGAGAAAATAAGGTGATGATAGGAGACAATTGCAAAAAGGAATGTCATTTGCGCCCCATTTTGTTTAACAATATTTGATGAATCAGAGAGAGAAAGAGAGAATTTGAAATGATTGATTGGAATATTGATTGATTGATCGGTTGATTGAATGAAATATTGATGCTATCTAGAATTTTTTCAAATTGATTAATTCATTGAAAGGAAATTATTAATTAATTCACTCAAATAAAATTATCAATTAATTTGTTGAAATGAAATTATTAATTAATTTGTTGAAATGAAATTATTAATTAATTTGCTGAAATGAAATTATTAATTAGTTCACTCAAATAAAATTATTAATTAATTTGTTGAAATGAAATTATTAATTAATTTGTTGAAATCAAATTATTAATTAATTTGCTGAAATGAAATTATTAATTAGTTCACTCAAATAAAATTATTAATTAATTCGTTGAAATGAAATTATTAATTAATTTGTTGAAATGAAATTATTAATTAATTCACTTAATTAATTCACTGAAATAAAATTATCAATTAATTTGTTCAAATGAAAATATTAATTAATTTGTTCAAATGAAATTATTAATTAATTGTTTTTTGATTTTTGATTAAAAATGATTTGTTGAATAATTTTTGATTAAAAACATATTACATTTTCCTCATTTTTTTTTTTTTTTTTTTTAAATTTGCTAAAAGTATTTTTTGTCATAATTTGATGACAAAAAAAAAGAAAAATCATTTAAATGTTTTTTTTTAAAAAAAAAAAAAAAAAAACGAAGAAATTTTTCCATTTAATGTTATTAGTTTCTTTTTTTTCTCTTTTTTTTTTCAAAATTATTTTTTAAATCATATTTTACTGTTTAGAAAAAAAAAAGAAAAATTCATTACTTAGAAAGAAACAGAAAAGATCAATAAATGATCATTGAATCTTATAGTTTATTAATAAGTACTTACAATTACCTAAGTATTTACTTTGCTTTACTTTACTGTTTTACTTTTACTTTTAATTACTTTTAATTCATAATTGTTTTCAGTTTTACTTTCATAATTAATAATTGTTTGCTGTTTCAATATTAAATAAATACTTACAATTACCTAAGTATTTACTTTGCTTTACTTTACTGTTACTAATAGTTGTATATAACTTTTTTCTTTCAATTAGTAATTGCTTTACAGAGTTTTACTTTTACTTTTAATTACTTTTAATTCATAATTGTTTTCAGTTTTACTTTCATAATTAATAATTGTTTGTAAAGTTTCAATGTGAAATATGTACATAAACGTATCATACACGTACGTTAATAATTACTTATATCCAATATGAAATGTTATTATCGTGGGATATTAAAGGATTATTCATAAATTATTGTGTACTTGTGAAATATAGTGAAATAAAAAAACGTGGATTATACGCATGACTGAAATGAAGGAAACGAATGTACGTGCATGATACGTATGACTGAAATGAATGTACGTGCATGATACGTATGACTGAAATGAATGTACGTGCATGATACGTATGACTGAAATGAATGTACGTGCATGATACGTATGACTGAAAAATGAATGTACGTGCATGATACGTATGACTGAAATGAATGTACGTTACGTGCATGATACGTATGACTGAAACGAATGTACGTTACGTGCATGATACGTATGACTGAAACGAATGTACGTTACGTGTATGATACGTATGACTGAAACGAATGTACGTGTGTAATAGTTTACGTGTGTGATACGTATAACTGAAACGAATGTACGTTACGTGTATGATACGTATGACTGAAATGAATGTACGTTACGTGTATGATACGTATGACTGAAGTGATAAATATTATTTTATTGACATATTTTTAAACATTGACATTTAACGAAAAAAGATTTTTTTTTTGTCAAAAAATTCAGTTTTTTTTTTTTTTAATTTTATTTATTTTTAATTTAATATACAATGTGAGTTATTATTATTATTAAAAGAGATAATGTTTTTTTTTTTTTTTTTTTTTTTTAAAAATATTTCAATTTCATTTCAAAATTTTTATTTGTAATTTAACTATTGAGTAATTCAAATTAGATCATTAAGGCTTAACATCGACGAAAATATAAATTTTATATGAATCAGTGTGAATTTTTAATTTTTATGTTCGAAATTTGACGCATAAATTATAATTGATCCGAAATTATAATTTCGATTTGATTGTTTTTCAAAATTTTATGATCTAAATAATATATAAATACTACTAAAAAAAAAAAAAAATAATAAATAGTTTCACACGAATTTCAGGAATGCAATTCAAGAATTACGTGTTATGCTGCGTGAAAATTTATTTTTTAAATTTATTTATTATAATAAAAGAAAAAATTGATACGTACAACAAAAGTGATAGTTTACAAATTGAATTAAAATATGCATTAAAACAATTACATGTAATTATTAATTTAAAATTATTAATTAAAAAATTTTCAAAAATTATAAATTACATTTGTGACATTTTTTTTTTTTTGCATTTGAATCATTCGATAAAATGTCGAATAAGTTCCATTGGTAGCGGAAAAATTATTGTTGAATTCTTTTCAGCACTAAATTAAAAGAATAAATAAATGAAAAAAAAGAAATATTTCAAATTTGATATTTGAAATTAAAAACATGATTTAATAACTAAAAACTAAAATTTTGAAATTAAAAAAAAGACGTAAATGACGCAATTTATTTAATTCATCTGATCAATAAATGAATTTTCTATTCAAGTGATTTTTCGCTAAATTAAAAAAAAATAAAAGAATTGATATTTGAAATTAAAAACTTGATTTAATAACTATTATAACTACTATTCATAACTTTAATAGCTATTATTTAATAATAATTATTACTTGATTTACTAACTAATAACTAAAATTTTGAAATTAAATGATATTAATGATGCAATTTATTTAATTGATCTGACAAATAAACGATTTTTTAAGTTTACGCTAAATTAAAAATAAAAAAGAATTGATATTTGAAATTAAATTTGAAATTAAAAAATTTGATTTAATAACTAAAAACTGAAATTTTGAAATTAAAATGCTATGAACGTTGCAATTTCTTTAGTACATCTGATAAACAAGTGAGCTTTCTATTTAAAAAAAAATTTTTTTTGAATTTGAATTTGAATTTTTTTTTTTGTTTCAAAACTTACGCTACACTACTAAGTGTTTGCAGATAACGTAACTGCAACGCTGCAGGCGATTTTGATATAGTCAATGCCGCTTCTTGCAACGAATGTGATGCTTTTTGCTCACCTTCCGCTGCAATCACCTGCAAACTGCATGCAGTATTTTATTTGAAATTTAAGAAGTAAATATGATATTAACAAATTTTTTTAAAAAAAAATTTTATTAGCTAAAAAATATATAAATTTTATTCCAAAAAAAAAAAATTTTGCAATTATAATTTTTTTTCAATATTAATTAAATTAGCGATTAATTAAATTTTTAGTTAATGAGAACAAGCAGATAGTTTAATTCTTTTAGTATTATTTAACCAAAAAATTAGTTGAAATATTTGAAATAACAAAAAATTTGAACTTTTTGTTTTTGTTTACTTTTTAATTAAATAATTAAGTAAGATTAAAAAAATTAATTTTTTATTGCTATTTTTGCTTTTCATTCATTTTTCTAAATTATTAATAATAAAAGCAAATTAATTATTAAATTTTTCTAAATTACTAATAGTAAAAACAAATTAATTATTAAATTTTTCTAAATTATTAATAATAAAAACAAATTAATTATTAAATTTTTCTAAATTATTAATTATACTTTTCATTTATTATAAATTATTATTAATTAAAATTTTTCTAAATTATTAATTGCCTTTGCTCTAGCTTCACGTGCTGCTTCTGCTTCAGCAGCCATTGCACGTTGTAATTGTACCGGAAGACGAACATCTTTTCTGAAATAGCTGCAATTATTTTCAGGAATGAATAATTCCTGAAAATTCTCTGATCCGGATTACAAATAGAAGTGCAAATAAATTTAAATAATTTGATAAATTATAATATGAAAACACTCCATAATGTTTGATCCCTTCTTTTCTTTCTTTCTTTTTCTTTTTTAAATCATTTAATTTAATTTAAGGAAATGATAAATAACTTAGTTAAATTGACTTAAATTTTTGTATCAAAAAATCAATAAATAATTTTTGATAAATAATTTTTGATAAATAATTTTGCATCTGTTAAAAGTAACTTAAATTTTTAAATCAAAAAATCGATAAATAATAAAATCGATAAATAATTTTTGATAAATAATTTTGCA